TACAGAGACATTCTTGATAAAAATCTGCTGCCATCTACCAGGATGATGAAGATGAAACGAGGGTGGACATTTATCCAATAGAAAATCTATGGAAAGAAATCAGAGTTCATAGAAGAGGCCCACGGAAGATTTGAAGACTGTGCGGAAGAATGGGCCAAAATCACACCTGAGCAATGCATGCGACTAGTTTCTCCATACAGGAGGCGTCTTGAAGCTGTCATTACCAACAAAGGCTTTTGTACAAAGTATTAAATAAATTTCAGTAAGCGTGTTCAATACTTTTTCCCTGTGTCATTCCATTTTATTACACATAACTTCAATTTCTGAAATTATTTATGTTGGTTTCTTTGCATGTATGGATTGCATGGGTTGTTACCGACTGAAAATTGTGACAATAGCACCTTTTAGAAATATTTACGAAAATGGTGCGTGTCAATACTCTACCACTGTATATGTATATATATATGACAGTATATATTTATAAAGACCTTTTAAGAACACTGGCTGCAGTAAACCGCTTCATATCCAGGATTATCTCCCCTTACAACAAATAATAATAAATAATATATAATAGTGTCTATAAATAATACTTTTTTAACATTTTAACATTTAGTCTTAACATGATATTTGACCTGTTAGCTTTTCAATCTGTTAGCATGTATCATAACCTGGGACACTGTAGCCTCAGTTATTTCTATTTATATAACATATATATTATATTGTTATTCAGCTTAAACTGCCTGATCATAGCAGCCTTCTAAAGCATTGGGATGATTTTAGGCTTTTTTAGCAATAAACTGGGAGAAAGTGAAAGTTCAAAAATCTTGTTATTTTTGTGTAATTCATAAAAAATCGGAGCCCACCTTGTTCCAGTGAAATAAATCAGTTTTTTGGAGTCTTTCAAGAACCTCTAGTCACACTCTAAACAAGAAGTAAGTTTTGTGACGTTTGTGAAGGGAACAAACGATTGGTCAAACTGACTGCACAAATTACAGATTTACGTTATTAGTTGAATTATTGGTTTAAAATGTCTCTTCTATCCTTTAAGTGTGTAAAGTATCAGCAAAATGTACTTAATTATAAAGTATTATTACAATCTGCAGGCAACACTATTCACGTAAATTATATATTTATTTTATAGGATCATTATAGTTTTTAAATCCCAACTGAAACCAACAGCAGCTCTCAGATAAAGTAGTGATTTAACTACAATATTTACCTCAAAGTATAAATAGCATAGAATTAAATACTTGATTACACTGAACTCACTCAGGATTTTAACCACAACTGCCAAAGAAGGACGAGTCCTGCTTTCTATTTGTGCTGCAGTAGAGTCTCCAGTGAGCAAAGTTCTATTGTGTAACACAAGTGAGATGACTCATGTGTCCAGAAATAGAGACAGCGCCCAGCAAGCACTGAGATCAGGGACGTCGAACACACAAACGTTCTCAACTGATTTCATTTATCCATCGCTGCAACCAAAAAACAGAGAAGTGGCTTCTGCTAATTATTTTGTTCCATATGATATGTGAAAAACCTCCTCGTGTTTCTTGATATCAACTGACCGAGCTCAAGAGAGAACAACAGAGTTAGAGTTATAACCAATAGAACACGTTGGAGGAATATTCACATCCTTAACAAACCACGTTTTAATTTATGTCGTCAGGATGAAAAGATGAAGTTGATGAGGTGGTGAGCAGCGTGGGATCATGGGGTTGTTGTCTCTCAGGTTATGATATTACACTAACAGAGTAACGGCTGAAGCTAACAGGTGCGATTATGATATCTATTTAATGAGATTGTACGATTATAGATTTATATTTTTTCTTGATAACTTTGTGTGTCTGACTCTGAACTCCATCAAAGACTTCATGGGGGCTCTCTTCTTCCTTTCCTCCCACCACCCGCCAGGCTGGAGACTAGCGGAGGATAGCTGCAGGATCAGATCAGACTCGTGTTTGAGTTCTTTACTGTGTGTTGAATCCTGCAGCCCGGAGGCCTCGGCTCTTATCTCTGAGACAGCAGGGGGCGAGGGGGTTTTGATGCTGCAGGAATGAGGCCATGGCTCAGCAGCGGTGGTGTGTATGGGGGGTTAAACTGTTGCAGGTGTTGTTTTTGGCTGCAGGCGTTCAGCTCTGTCAGTTGATTCTCCTCTGCAGGATTTTAAGTTGACCGTTTGCTGATATGACAGGGATAGGCTTTATTCAGCACACACCTTCCTCTCTGCTCTAGTCGGCCGCCGTCTCACCCCACGCTGACAGACTCAGAAAACATCCATGAACAGCTGATCACACAGCACCGCTATTCCAGTCTACGGTGAACGACGTGTTTCTGCCTGAAGCAGGAAGTACGTTTTGTCTCGTTTGGGGCGTGTCGAGGCGTTAAGCCAATCAGCAGCGACGTTATGTGACCCAGCTCACTCAGTGCTCTCAGCAGTGTTTCCCACCTTACGTGGGGGCCACTTTTTAAAAAAAGCAAATATGGCGACCTAGTTCACAGCGAAAGAGCATTTTTACCCTGTTTCGAATGAGTCATATGTTCTTAACAGGTAAAGCAGCCATTTAAAGAGAGTACACAGATCAGCCATCACCCCACTCCCTGCTGGTCCCAGACACAGATGCCCTGCACTGTGTGTTCTGACCCCCTTCTATCAGAACCAGCTTAACTTTCAGCAGTTGAGCACAGTAGCTCGCTGTTGGATCAGACCACACGGCCAGCTTCACTCCCCACCTGCCCACAATGGCCTCGGCCCCAATGACCCTGTCTCTGGTTCTGTTCTTCCTTGACCACTTTGATAGATACGACCTCTCAGACCGGGACCCAAGAGCTGCAGTGCAGGAGCCCCGATAAGCAGATAATCAGGTTATTCATGTCACTGTTAGGGCTGATCTGTGTATGTTTAAGTGCTTAGTTTAGTTTAATATATAATAACAAATGACAATATGTTAAATGCAAAATAACAATAACCATTAAAATTA